ATCCTAAAGCCTAAAGGGTTAACATTCCTCATTTGTACGGAGCTCACAATAGATGTGATAGTTTGAACTAACTTTTGATGTTGAAATAGATTGAATAGGGAAAAAAAGAAAGAAAAAAGGTTTTAATATGTGCTGGAATTGCTTTGAAATATTTGTATTATATGAAGAATTTATACTGCGCTCATCTCAAACTAAATCTAACAGCTTCAAAATCAAAATTGTGTTGGAATATGTGATCCATTGTATGTTTACTTAATCCTTTTTGTGGGCAGCTGTTCTCACCATCACGCTATAAAATTTTTCTTCTGCTCCATAGTGTCTGTTTGAATAGTGTTTTATAGAATTTAGACATTGAAATTGATGGGTGAAATTAGGAAAATTTTATGTTATGACTAAACTTTTGTTAGAATAATTTTATATCTATTAAATTTATTTTATGATGAGAATATGTGTTTTGATTGGTTATGATTTTTGTATTAATCTCATAATAAATTTTCTATGTGAACTATATGAAGCGTGGAGAGGTTTAAGCCTCAAACACGCAAATGTTTCATTAAAATAAGCCTCAAGCATTCTATTAAAATTTTATATATGAAAAAGAAAACTATATATTTTGAAATTTTCTTTTCAAATTATCCCTTAAATGAATTAGGTAAGCAATGTATGACTTGCAGAAATGCAATATGATGTTTCTTGTCCGCATAATCTAACTTTACACAAATTTTATGGAGAGATATTTTAAAAAATATTCAAAATCAAATTTATCACTGCCACCTCGTGTATATCAATCTTAGAAGCAAGGCCATCAATACACTGAGCATTAATGCTTTAGATGGCATCAAACAAAATAAAAGAAATTTACCGCATAAATTCAGCAGATAGTCAAAGAAGTAAAAAACTTCTCAAGATTGAATTAATTCGAAAAATACAATTTCCTTAGTTGATTTTCAATATTTTTATGGTGGAGATGACCAATGGCTATGCCAATGGATTTGAACAGACAACATAGCTCAACCAAAATACTCTTATCCACTACTGAGCATTAATGCTTTAGTTGAATTGAATGTAGGATTCTCCATTTTGAGTTTCTAAACACTTTCTCCAGCTACCAAAAGAAAAATTGAACCTTAAATAGAAAGAAAAAAGCTTCATTACTAATGAAGGCATCTTTTTCTACAAGGTCATGTAGTTCATCATAAGAACATTGGCATAATGCACTGGAAATTGTTGGATAATGTGCTCAAAACAGCAAAAATGCAATCTTATGGTCTAAATCGATCTTGCCCTGATTAATAGTAAGGACATCAACATCACTTGGTTGACCTCTCCAATACATTTTTAATATTGAGAGAATCGATATGAAGTTAAACCCCAACATGAGGATTTTTGGTGCGCGATTCAAGAAATGTCATACAATTTGTCCATATGGGATCAAATAAAATCTTGATAAAATTCGAGAAGCTATAGAGAAATCATCTCCCTGTTATGTTCAAGATGTGCAAAAGCTGATAGGAAAACTCACACATTAAGTAAAATTTTTTTCCTAGTTTTAATTGGAAGAAGGATTGTGAGAAAGCACTCCAAGAGCTAACATGATACCAATCTAGCATGAAAATTATCACCAAACTTAAAGGCTGAAAACCTAAAATGATACCTGGCTAGCACACAAAATTCTCACCAAATCTAAGGATGAAAATTTTTATTGATCTACCTAAGAGTCCATAACTCAACGATAGTTCAACATTGGTCAATAAGACTTTCGAAATCATTGAATGCAACCAAGTTGAGCAGCTCAATAATGGGCAAATTTATTCTTTCAATCATTATTATTACTCAATGACATCCAAGTGCACTTAATCAAAACAATCATTAACAAACCTTTATGGCATATTATACATATGCATGAGTTGTCAGAGAAGCTAATGGAGCAAACCTTAATGCTTAGCCGGTGTAAGATCAAGTATGTGCCTTGCATTATAATTAAAGCTCAGGTTCTCAAAGATTTCATAACAAAATTTCTTAACCAACAACATAAATTGAAGATGCTGAGAAATGTATTGAAGAACTTCATGGGCTACACATATTGATGGTGTATATGGCGAAAATAACTATCAAAATGGGCAAATTGGAATAGTCATAAAGTTTTTACATAGAGTAATCTTCAATTATGCACTTTGAATCAATTCAATGCCACCAACAATCAAGTTGAGTGAAGCAATGCTAGATAATGTTTGTTTCATAAATGGAGCCGACATGAAGAGCCACATTGTTTATGGTGACTCTCAAGTAGTGGTGAACTAAATTATTGGACGCAACAAATTGCGGAACTTGGTCATGACTCAATACACTACAAAGTCCATGTAGAAACCTAGAAGTTATGCAAATTTAAAAATTCCTATTCCTGCAAAGAAAATATGTTTAGCAAACCTCTGTGCAAAGTGTGAAATCTTGATGCAACCTTCATTCTAGAACTCAAGAATTCTTCAACAAAGATGTTGAAGGTATGCAAGTTCTCTTTTATAAATTCTTGAGTTCCCTCCTAGCAATCTGAAGAATGCTAGAAAGCTGCCTTTAATAAATTGTTGCTGGGAGCTACAGCGCCACACTGATAAGATGACACTTGAGCACTTTGCTACACAACTGTCTGTTGTTTTATCTCAAATAATGAAGTATTAAGAAACCCGTTCTTTGTGGTCAGACTAAGATGCTTGCACCTTGATGAGGCAAGGAGATTCTATAGGAAAGCCATTTAGATGAGTCTGGAAACCACTTAGTCGGTGGAAAAACTTGAATAGGGCAAACCTCACAAGAGAGGTGCTCAAGCACCTGCATAAGAGAATTGATCTCAAATATCTTCCTAGAAGTGTCAACTTCAGTGATTGGCACTCCAACGGTTTCATTAACTAACTGTCTAGATTGATTACTTAATGTGGCTGCACAGATAGAAGAACGATCCTCTTGAACTGTGCTGAGGTAGCAAGGATAGAAGAATGATCCTCTTGATTGAACTTTTAGTGTCAAACTATCAATAACAGTTTTGAGAACATTTTAATGGTTTATGATTGCTTCTGCCACTACATCATTATAGATATTATGATAGACTGGAAAATCTTTTTATGAAAAATTTTTAATAGGAGTATGAATGGATGAGAGATTTACCCTATGGAAATTGGGCTTTTGATGTGTGGCCTCAACACCTCTTTCAGTAATGAAGTAAAGGCAGCCAATTCTATTCATCCCTTTACTGACTATTTTTGTGGTGATCAGCTAGAAATTCCTTGAGATACTTTCTTTGATCAACTTCTCTAAAAGGGATTTCAACACTAAATAATCATCAGTCATGATCATGATCATCAAGGTAGAGACAAGCTTGTTAATTGCTCCCATGAATGTAGAAATCTGGCGAGTAAGAGGAGGCAAGTTGGCATCTTGTTGCATATGGTGGTGCATCATATGTTGAGCGAGATGATTATGATAGTCATTGCTACTTGTCCTCATGAATTAATCTAAGTAGAAAAAGGCAATTAGTTCCTAACGTTTCTTAGGTTGTCTTTGATGAGACCTCAGGTTTTCTTTCCCTTTAATGGAAAGGCAGTTGCAAAACTCTTGATTAAGTGATCCAAGCTGTTGACAATCTCCTTTTCTTTGATGTTCTTCTTTGCCTTCTCTAGCAAATGAGCCATTATCTCAATCTAATTATTATCACAAACAAACTTGAATGGGCTCCCTTGGAGTATTTTTAGCTTATGATGGGTCAAAGTTTTGTAACTTCTCGTAATGCTTGGTTGAGGGAAGCAATGTAACTTTAAAGAAACTGGTTCTTTTTCTGCTTGATAAAAAAACGTACTTTGAGTGGTCTTTGAGAGGTGGAATTGCTCCAAGAACTTGAAAGTTTAGGAGGAATCTGGCTGGCAGAAGTTGACAATGCTACCATATAGCTGAAACATTGAGTGGTGTTAAGAAATTCTATATTTTGCTGCTTGTAAATAATGATCGAAGTCATTGAGGTGCTCGATTAGGTTAGGGCTCCTTAAACATATTCAACTGAGAACTCTTGAAATTTGGGGGAATTGGTTTCTTCAAAATCTTCAGCGATAGATGAGTTTTGTAGAATTCCTCTTATTTAGTATTATCAACATCAATGCTAGGCGTTTCTTCCCTCGGGCTAGAGAATTGTAGGTTCGGGTATAGTCTTGACAAGCATGAGAGGTGGAAGCATTGTCTGGTTTGACTGCTCTAGTTAAGAGGCTGATATGAATTGATGAAGGATCGGCACTTGAACTCATTGCTTTTTTTAATTGAAAAGGCATTTCATTTTGGTAGGGGACCGAGTAGAAATAGTTGAATTTGAGATTTAAATGATCGCTGCAAGTGGCAAATAATTTGGTCATTTTCTATTTGCAAATGCAATTTTTTGATGAAGTTTTTGTGTGTATGAGACGAAATTTGAGTGGATTTGATATATTTCAAATTGAAATGAAGATTCTAATATAAGCTTTGAACTGAACTCGACTCAGCAAGGCTGTTCATAGGGGTTATATTGGCTCAGTTGACACATCAACAGTTGTGATTTGATCTCATAGATGAATTTGAATTTGGTTTACATATACTAGTTAAATAATTTATACTATGATGGAATTAAATATATAAAGATATATTCACGTGGATGGGTTTGTAAAAATACGTAATTCAACTTATGCAATTTATTCAACATATACAAGTTTAATAATTGTTAGTCGCTTTCCACTCATGGGTTTGTTAAAATGCATAGTTTAACTAATGTAATTTATTAAATATATACAAATTTACAAACTGCTAGTACTTCCATGCTTCTCAACTCTTTCTTTCGTTCATGAATTCTGGTTTTCATTCATGCAATGGGTTTTTTGTACTATTTGTTAAACATTATATCAATCTTTTGTTTTTTTGCTTTTAAACATGAACTTTCTTAAAAGTTTTCCCCCTTGTAAAATAGCAATTGTTTAATTTTGCAGTGTGTTCAAAACTGTTCTTTTTATAGGCAATCTGGAATCCAATGTGAAAACGATGAAGATGGTGTGGTGATGGGAAAGGGTCTTTTACATGCTTAAAGAAAGGATAGTTCCGGCTCTCCTAGTTACCAACTAAATCTGGGCTGGTTCACAGCAATTACTTGGCCTGTAAATTAGCTAGTAAAAACGATGATCACTAAGCAAATTCTGTTGACTTATTTGTACTTGCTCATTTACATATGTCTATCATCAGGCGTTATTTTGTACAACAAGGTATATGCTTTTATTATTGCTATTTGTAGAACTGCTATTGGATATTGTGCCTATTTACACATGTTACTTATAATATTAACATAACAAGTTCCTGACGTATTCTGGTTTTCATCCTCGCAGTGGGTTCTTTCTCCAAAGCATTTCAAATTCCCTTTTCCGATAACACTAACAATGATTCATATGGGTTTTTCTGCTTTTGTTGCTGTTATTCTTGTTCGTGTTTTTAAGGTATGTTCTTTTGAATATTGCAAGTATTTTTTAATTATTCTTCTTATTTCTATTTTTGACATTTTTCCTATACAAATATTTTTTTCTTTGATTGTATGATCATACAAGATACTCTGCTCCACTATATTGAAAGAGTTTCTTTTAACCATTTGTTAAGAAAAATTTGATTATATAGGCGAGGCATAGTACACGTAGTTGGACAAATATGTAAGCTTTATTTATTTTTGGAGAAATATGCCTAAAGGCTCATTTCAAACGAAATTATATCCTTTGAGGATCTCTTACTTTTTTGAGCTGCTTTTTAATATTGAAGAGTTTGAAATTGGTTCGAACTTGTTCAAGTTTCAACTCACTTAGATCCCATATTCAAAATTTGTTTGAGTTGGTGTTCAAACACGGTTCATCATTCAAATTAGCCTCAAAGTCGCGGTTTTGGTCAAACTCTTGATGTTCAAACTTCTCCGTGGCTCCCAACACAAAACTCTCTTCTCCTTCACACGCCATTAATCCCATCGATGGCTTCCCCTAGCAAGCTCCGTCACAAACCCATCTTTAAAATCACCATTAATCTTGTCTATGGTTTATCCCAATGAGCTTCTGATAGGAAACACTTGTGGATCTCAAGTTTTTCCTATTAATCTTCGGAAAACAGCGAGCTTCCTTTGCAAACCTCTCTTCTTCACACATCATCGGTCCTATTGATGTCTATCTCTGACTAGGGGTGTCAAGACTGGTTGTCGGGCCTTGTTCGGGTCCAACTCGAAATTGACCCTCCCTTTTCGACTTGAACTCGACCTGATTTGTGCTTCAGGTCATCTCTCTTAAACCGAACCCGACACGACTCGACAACCCAATTAATTTGAAAAAAAAAATAAGTCTTTCAAAATAAATTGTTTAGTATATATATATAAACAAATTTTAGGAGGTTTTATAATTTAAGATTAATATTAGTGAAAATAAACTGTTACAACTCAAATTTAACGTTTAACCGTTTTTGCTATTTCAAATTCGACAACAACAAGAGGTAGTAAAATTTAAAGTTCTTAACAAATTAATGTAAAATTTGTATATAAATAATCACATTCAGTTCAGCACATCAAAAGCCAAGGTCCACTAACATATAAACAGTTACAACTTGCATTACAATTTACAATTACATGCTTATAGGTGAGTAGGTTATCGCCAGCCATGAATCGAAGTATAAAACATCAACAGACTACAACTCATTCAATAACAATTGATTTGAATTACAAATTAACTAATTAAGTTCAGCAATAGCCAATACCCAATAGCAAATATCCAACCAGGAATTAAATTACAATAAATTGAAAATTGAGAAACCTCTTGGAGAACAATTTGTCTTCAAGTAGTTTTAACTGCAAAAAAAAAAAGGCTAGATAGATAGAATCCTAGATCATGAGATTGTAGAAAGCTTAACTAAATAGTTCATATTAACCCTCTAACTCATTCAACGATTAATGTAATGTGAGTGAATAATGATTATTTCTATTACCAACCAAGGCAGCAGTTTTTATTAGCTTAGTTTATTATCTATTTAAATTGGCTTAGTTTAGTGTCTATTTAAAATTTTAATTAGTATTTGCTCGGTCTAAGAGAACACAAATGCCACATGGTTACAATTGTATTTATTTACCCCAACTGACTCTTACTTTTAGTTTAGAAGATTACTCATCATTGCTTCAGCTTTCATACTTCATAGCTTGAATTCAGCAAAAAGGTAAATTCAACAACAACCAACTAGGAAAATAGCAGTTGTAAGAGGCTACATCCAATAACATCCTACGGATATAAATTCAGCAACAGCTAACCAAGAAAACATATATAAGTTTAGCAGCCATAAGCAATAAAACGAAACTCATAACTCAAAAGAGTTCTTAAAGGTTAACTTCCCTGCTTCCAACAACATCATATCAGATTATGATGGATCAGATTTCTAAAAGACGTCAGGAAAACTTAAAAACAATAGGCCAATAAGATAATAACATAGCTGCCATAAGATAAGAGGCTATAAAATGTCAGAATCCAAGTTGGAGGGCGAAAAGCAACCCAATGTAACTATGTAAGCACATAGTTAGATAACTGCACTGAAAGGTTAAAAAAGAAATAAATATGACAGAAGTTCATCATAATTCACAAGAGAATCAACTCATTAACCACAAGTTTTGTAAATATGATGTTGATAAATATGCCCTTTCAAACTTTTAGCAACATCAGCAGCTAATAGTGATGAATAAACTGAAACGAAATAGAACTCAAGTAAGAAAAGGAATCGAAACTGAGGAGAGCTTTAGTCTGGAGGTGGAGGAGACTAAAGATTGGAGAGTGGAGAGGACCCTAAAAAAACAAAGCCAGAGGCAGAGGAGAGGGGAGAGTTGAGAGATGATACGCGTAGAAATGAATAGTGGCTGATACACATAGAAATGAATAGAGCATAAAGCTGTAAACCTAAATCAGACGGCTCAAGGCTCACTGCGTGGCGCCCCGGTCAATTCGGGTCAAAATCGGGTTTTTAGGTTGACCCGAACCCTACTCGGAATTGCAAACTAGTCGGAATTGAAGACCCAAACCCGACCCATTTTCCAAATGAGTTGACCCTAACCCAAAAAATTCGGGTCGGTTTCGAGTCGAGTTTTTGTGTCATGTCAATTTTTGACACCCTACCCCTTACAAGCTCCTGTTGCGAACTCCTATTTTCCTAAATTTTTCATAGGTCCCGTACGTGGCTTTCCCTAGTGAGTTTCTACTATGAATCCTCTTCTCGCTCAAACGCTGCTGATCTTGTTGACGGCTTCCCCGAACATCTCTTTCCTTCACACATTATTGATTTTATCAATGCCTTCCCCCATTCCAACTCCCATTGTGAAGCCCTCTTCTCCTTCACACAATGCTAACCTTGTTGACATCTTCCTCTAGTGTGCTCTCATGCTAACTTCTTTGTGTGACATTTGAACAAGAGGGCATGGATGTAGGAGGGAACTTCTCCTCCTCCCTTTATATTGCCTTTTTCTTCTTTATTCAAACAACAAAACAACAATTTTTTTTCCCCAATCAAGAATTCATATTACTCTTACTTTTCTTTCCATTAGCTCAATTCATCTTGTTGGCTTGTTGATTATATCTCTTTTGGATGTCTTGCGGGTGATTTTGGATAAAGTTTTGTGTTAGAGTGCTAGGTTCTCAAAAAATTTGGTGTTTAATGCGGATAAAAAATGGCTTCAAGAAATCCGGAGAATCATTTTTACTTTAAAGTTTCCAAGAAGAAGATGGCGAGGGAATGTCATGATGTCAATGTAACAAGTAGAAAATCTGGTGATTTGACTACCTAAGTTGCACTCCTTTAATAGTCAATAGCTATGCTGATGGAGATTATGTGCAAGGAATACCCAATGACTGATGAATAACCAATGTACAAGAAGGTTTGATTTCAGAGGAAGGCCCACGGTAACTACAACTTGGAACCAATGAGTGCTCTGATAAGAAAGAAGATGATTTGAAAATGAAAGAAGAGAATCTCGAGATTTCCTTACAAGGTAAAAGCTACCATTGATGTCCCCATATTTGATGTTTCTATTGGTGTCGAGAAACATGGCACATGGGTGGATCAATTCTATACCTACTTCACTTTTAATGGGTTCATCTCCTTAGGGCATCTCCAACCGAACGGCAAACACTTGTTTGCCGTTCTTGTTTTGCTCCAACCGATCGCCATTTTTTACGCCAGTTGATCGCGGATGAACAGTGCGACGTCAATATTGGCGTCGCACTGTTCACTCACGTCATTTTTTGCTCTCAACCGGAAAAAAGCGCGAAAGGGAGGGGGATCGTTACCTTCTCAAAAACACCTAAAATGGCGTTCGATTGGAGCATCACCGCGTCATTTTGGAGTTTTGCGTTACTTTGCCGTGAAAAATGAAGTTTTCGGTTGGAGATGCCCTTAGAAAATTGTTCTCCCCTAGAGTTGCCAAATATATACTTATTTGATGGAACACTCAGTTTAGGCATGGGAGTAAGAGTGTAACATAGAGACAATTCAAAAAATTTCTTTATTAGAATTATACCCTATGGTGTATGAGGAAGACTAATGAAGTGATAGGTTTCGGTAACGACAAAACTAATTGGTGCAATTATACTCTACAAAGTTCAAGAGATAATTCCTAATGAGTAGCATGTTGCTGGAAGGCCTCGCTGTTCTAACCAAGTGCACGATTTGGTTGCATTACAACTTCTTTGATGAACTATTCTCCATCAAGCGTATGGTTAGTCAAACATGTTTGCTCGGTCATGTTGAGTGAGCCAACCCAACTTCAACTACATATAGTATTGGATAGTTGTTGGGGGATACGTTGCTCGCAATGCCTCCACAATTTTTTCCCCATAGCATTGTTGGGTCAATCCTCCATTTGACGAGTCTCCTTATTGTTCGCCAATGCTCTGTCTCTGGTTCAAATAAGCATTGCCAAGGTTGTTTTTTATTTGATCGATCATGCCAATGTCTTTTCAATCTTCAAGAGCCAATCTTTTACACTTCTAAATGGTTCATTTTTCTCATGAATTAAGTCAGCTCGTGTTTCTAGAATAACTCTAACCATTTTTCTCCTTGTTTCATGGAGGTGACACAATGCTACCAGTGCTAGTACAAACAGCTCAAATGCTCATCTCGACCTTTTGTTTCGTAGTCTCATATTGTCTTTTTTATGAACTTGAGTTTTCATCTTGGCGTCTTCTCTCTATCCCTAGCATGGTGATCTCAATCTCGATCAACATGTTTTCATAGTTATTAGCTTCCTGCCTTGTATGTGTTCTTTGTAGAGAATAATATAAATATTTACACATATTATCAAGATATATAGTTAGTGGATGCATCATAAGTCATGTAATTTACACTCTTCCTATATAAGCTCTTGTCCAAGAACTAAAGCTTATAGTTCCAACACCACTTTTTGATAACCCAAATATGCTTGGCCTAGTTAAATGACTATGCTGTTGAGCTGACTAGAGCTATGGCACTTTCTGTTCATCGCCATCCTGGATTCCATTTGCTCACTAACCTGAGTAAGTGGGTCAATTTATATTTTAGTCGAGTCTCCTTCAATTCTGTTTGGCAGATAAATTCTTCCCTAGATAGTTGATTGGATGACATGTAGAAGAGACATTGTGGGATAGATGCAAGGAATTGTTAAAGGAAAAAAAAATCATTTCAATACTATAAAAAAAAACACAGCTGCTTAATAGATAATGGTCGAAAGATCATGTGGGGTCCTTGGTTTATAAATATTAACCTAAAAGACAAAACTACTAAATACCATGGTCCAATTGACTAGGTCTAGTTGGCCTCCAACTCATCTTTACCCTTCTCTTTGAAATTTGACTCGTCACCTTGAGGTAAAAAATGAATTGTGATAAACTCATTGAAAAATGGTTCTCATTAATAGTAGAACCATTAAAAAGCTCCAATTGGACAAAGTAATTTTCAAGTAGCAAACAAGAAATTTTGTTGGCGGGCCTCTCAGACACATTAAGTCAAACATGCTTACATTCACATATACTCGGTCATCCTATTGTTTAGCTTGCATATTTTCATTGTTCCATTATTAATTAATGGAGGTCATACAATCCCTGTTGGAGGTTACATAATTCTATTAAAGTTTATTACCTGAGATTACATAGACCCTATGAAATTTCACACAATTCTCTGGTCTTCCTTTTGAATAACTTCATAAGCAACATTATTATTTCCATTCATTCACACATGGGCACCATTATGTTGGTTTGTGGATATTCATGAATGAGAATAATCCTATCATGCAACTAATATCTTACCATCATATACACATGGAAAGAACTATAAATTTCATATAAACCATCTAAGAACACACTATTAAGAATGGGGTAAACTTTTCCTTCTAAAATAGTCATGAAGAACTAAAGTTGATTTTTTTTTTTCAAGCGTATGGCTTTTTGAACAGTCACAAATTTCCTTGTTTTCAGAAATTTCCTTGTTTTGCTCCCGTAAGTCTCTAGCTCACACAACCCTCGGTTTTCTGGCTTATTCAAGGGGTCAATAACCCTTATACATTGGCCCAACTTTGTATAAGAGAGATGATTAGGAGATCAACTCTTAATATATGATGCACAAACACGAACACCGCACAGCTAAGACACAACACATACATTAGACATGTCAATTATTGAAAATATAGGACATGGTCATGGGTTGGATGCAATATATAATTTTTATATTTTAAAAAAGTGTATATAAATTGAATAAGTACAATATTAAAAATAATTTAGAATTAATAAGTCATTTAACTAAAATTTGCATTTAAAATGATTAATATTAGAATATCGATGCCGTGTCTCAAGCATTGAGATAAAAGATGACAATGCTGTCGAGGGTTGGGCATCAATGCTATGTAGTAAGTATCGGGCGTTGATGTCAAGAGGGCATTGATTGTCGATGTTAAGACGTCGAATAAAGATGAGCTGTCTAGTTGTGGTGTGGAAAGTGCTAATGTCAAACATCAATGTCAGACTTTGATGTTGAGATGGTTGTAAAATGTTCATGTTGTAATGACGTCAGTCTAGGGGTGTTAAAATGAGTCTTTGGGCCGGGTTTGGGTCTAACCTGTACTTGACCCGCTGCCAGCTGACATGACTCGAACCAGATTCGGTTATGGAAACAGATTGGATATTCGAACCTGAACCAAGTTCAGGTCAACTCTAAATGAATCGCTGACTCGGTTTGAAAGTTGAAATTAATTATGAAAAATGTAGGTATTTGGACAGGGTAGCGATTGTTGTTGACGGAAACATGGGCGAGAGCACCAATCGAACCCTACTATGGTGTCTTTTGACCTTCCATTGAGTGGAGGAGCTGAAATCTAGAATGGGAATACTCCCTATATGGTCAGCCGACATCTTCATATCCACTGCCAAATCTATCTACACCTTTGGGCTTTGGCTTAGTCCAGGCAAAGTCAATGGAAAGTAAGCTCGCCGGTGGCTTCAACATTCCATTGGCAAGCCTCTTCGTCTTCTCCTCCGCCGACCTGGAGGCCCTCCATCTTCCCACCTTATCGGAATCGACCCTCCCCAATTGGATAACAACGTTGGATTTTCAAATTTGGAATATAACTCATCTACAACTTATAGACACCATCCACGTTGATTTCGAATACTACGGTTTGTCGCAAACAGTATCGTCGACCTCGAACCTTACATGCTTGAGTCCCCATCTTATGCCAACACGGATTCCGATGAACCTGAAGTCGTGGCGGTTAGCACTACTTCTGGGTCAACCTGGGTTGATTTCGGGTTTTCGGGTCAACCCGAACTCGAACTCGACCCAGTTTTATAAACGGGTCGGAATCTCAAACCTGAACTTGACACGTATGGCAAATGGGTTGTTTTGAACCCAAAATTTTTCAGGTCGGGTCAAACTTTGGAATTATTATTGCGTCCTCCCACCTGACGCAGAGATGCGTCCTTCCAGAGCTAAAATCGTGCTAAAAAATGAGAAATGCCAAGCAAATACCGAGCAATACCAAACAATAACGAGGAATATCATCATGTGAAGACCAATATCGAGCTATACCGAGCTATACCGAGCAATACCGAGCAATACAAAAAAATACCTAGTTTTTCCTAGAGAAAACTCGGTATGTGCTCGGTATTGCTCGGTATAGCTCGGTATAACTCGGTATTGGTCTTCACATGATGATATTCCTTGTTATTACCAAATAATATCTAGCAATACCGAGCAAAAACCGAGTTTTTTGGCGTTGGGAGAACGCATCTCTACGTCAGGTGGGAGGACGCAATAAAAATTCCAAACTTTGACACCCCTACATCAGACGTCTATGTTGAGATGACATCAAACATTGTTGTGAAACTTGCAATCTGCCAAAGAGAAATGAAAATGAGAATATTCGATAAATGATTTGAGTTCATGTGATTAATTTGGTGTTGTGGGGAGAAATAAGAAATTTAATTTTTATATTTTAAATAAATAGAAAATTTAAATACAAGAAATTATATTTAAAAATTTCATTAATTTGTATTTAAATTTTTAATCATATACATTTTCAGCGTGTCAACTTGTGTCTGATGCGTGTCGTGTTCGATATGTGTCGGACATTACACGTCTTTTTGATGAGAAGTGTCAATACATCATAGCTGTGAATTGACTTTCTACTTGGCGCTCATATGACATGGCAACATGTTATGACAACCTTTTAATGACCTAAACACTCTCACTAATATAGAGGTCCTTTTCTAATGATAAGAGGCAATTTCTAGATTGTGCTGTTTTGTAGGAAGGACCATTGAAGATTTCCTGCAGCTGAAGTTTCTTACAAATGCAAAAAATATCGTAGATTCCATTGTCTTCTACTTACCATAGGTCCGACAAGCAACTTTTTATGCAACACTCCTCTCTGCTCTTCAAATGGCTCCAAGCCTTTTGGTCACCTATTCTACCTAGTCGAACCACCTGGTTGGTTGGGCCCATGGATTGGTTGGCCTAAACACTACCTGATAGGCCCAGGCTATATCTAGTTGTTCTAAGTGTTTGATCGACTTTATCTAGTTGGTTACAAGAAATTTCGAAGTATTAAAATTTTTGGTTATGCACACGTTGTGAGATAGGAGTAATACCTCATGAGCTAATGCTCGTTGGTTCTATCTTCACAATATAGCTGCAATGTAATAGGTTTGGATGCCAAAACATCATTTGGATCTCCTGTTGACAATGATTTACTTTGAATCACGAGAGTCATTTATGAACATAAAGATTGAGTGTTCCAAAGAGTCCTTAGTGTAACCTGCCCTTACCTTTGTGTTCGAGTGATTTGGAGATTTGTTTTTGCTTAAGCTAATGCATATTCTAGGTTATTATCATCATTTGCCTTATGCTAACTATTTTGGATTGGCATTATGAATCCCTATTTTATTTAGGCTGATGAGTATTGCATATTTTTTTAAGTCAACTTGTGCAAGGTGTTTTTATAGAATTCATGTTAAATTCAGTCAACCTGTTTCCTTCATAATTCTTTGATATTAATTTGATCCGCCTATTTTATCTTTACATCTTCTACACTTAATTTTACAAGTTCAAATTACCAAATTTTATTTTTCATTCTTTTTTATCACATCATGGTACTTCCATTTTCTGTGGATCAAACTGTGACGCGTTGAAGCTGCATGCCGTCAAGAAAAAAAGTTTAAATTCAGAGAAAAGGATGTTGATTTTAGCTATTGAACTCATGTGCATGTCATCCATAGTTTCATTCCAAAATAAAATTTAATTATATATTTTTTGCATCTGCTATTTTAATTATCAAGTGTAAAATTTTTAAGCCGCCAATAATGCCATTTTGCACAAAAATGGCTGTAATATCAATTATTTGTTTCTTGAGTAGGGGTGATTGTGCTCTGCACTATTATTTCAGTTTGTTATTGTAAAATTTCTGCAGATTCACTCTTTAACTAATTATTTTTATTGTTCTGGCTAAACAGATTGTTGCACCTGTCAAGATGACATTTCAAATGTGAGGGATTCATTATAATTCTTAGCCTACTGTTATTGTCCTTCTGTTAAACAAATTCATTGTTTTTTACAGATATGCAACATGTGTGATACCTATTAGCGCTTTCTTTGCGTCCAGTCTTTGGTAAGCATATGAAATTGTTTTAGGGGCTGTTTGGTTTGAAGTAAAAGAGGGCGTAAAGTATTTCAAATGTAGGGTTTTTGAGAAGATTGGTGTTTGGCTTGAAGTAAAAAAATGCAGTGTAAAATTTTGATGCATTTGAAATTCATCATATAGTTCATTTTTAGTGTATTTGGAATTCCTTAGATTTAGGTGAGTTTTAAATATACCATGAATTTATTGCCATTGTCGTCGCCGGGTCGCCGGCTACCAGCTGGCTCTGACAACCGGCCACCAACCAACACCACCGACCGCCGATGTTATTCACCACTCACGACCGCTACCGTCACTGATGCAAACCATTGGCATCACCATCACCTTCGACCATCGCAACCCTTCCCTACTGTTGTTGGCCACCATTGATGACCGACGCTATCGCCACCACCAACCTCGACTGACTACCACCACCATTGGCCACCGCTGGCCGATGCCCATAACTGCCCACCTCTGGACCACCATCACCATGAAAAACCACCACCGCCGGCCGCCACTGCCCACCATTAATCACCATCCTCTTTGGACTTTACAGTGCACTCATTTTATTTCAAATCAAATAAAGAAAATAATCTCATGCATTTATTTTATGTTTATCCGAATAAGTTCAAAGTATTTCTTTTATATTGCATTTTTTTACCTTGCATTAATTTTTAAGCTAACCAAACAGCCCCTTAGTGAAACATTTTTATGAAAAAATGCTGAAGATTTTTTTTTTCAGCGTTCTAACTTGTAATGGTGGTAGTAAACAGTGTTTCATTTTATCAGGTTTGGTAACACTGCATATCTGCATATTTCGGTTGCATTTATTCAAATGCTCAAGGCCTTGAGTGAGCTGACTTCATCTATTTCATTGTGCTCTAAGCATTCCAATTCTCTGAAGCATATCATTGTTAGTTCTAATTAATGTTTATGTGATACATTGCAGTGCCTGTAGCAACTTTTCTTGTTGCTGTTGTTTGTGGCACTGACAAGTTGAGGTGTGATTTATTCTTGAATATGTTGCTGGTCAGTGTTGGGGTTGTAGTTTCATCATATGGAGAAATTCATTTTAATGCGATAGGGACAGTTTACCAGGTTACTGGAATATTTGCAGAAGCTCTCAGGTTGGTTTTAACTCAGGTCCTCCTTCAGAAGAAGGGTTTGACTTTAAATCCCATTACCAGCCTTTACTACATAGCACCCTGCAGGTACTTCAACAACCATAAACCCAGCGCCACAGTTTGCTCATCAATGTTTTTCATGTTATTGGATTTGGTGCTCATAAAATTGTTGATATCAGTCAAATAGGATGGTTTTGTTTATCATCTTTCTATTACTTGAGACATACAATTTGTTCTTATATTTTTTGATGTATCATTTATTTATCTCTTGCTATTTTAACAACCTCCATGATTATACTTGTTTTATTCTATATTTTGCAGCTTTGTATTTTTGTTTGTTCCCTGGTACTTACTGGAGAAACCAGAAATGGACATCTCACAGATTCAATTCAATTTCGGGATATTTTTCACGAATGCTCTTTGTGCATTAGCTTTGAATTTCTCCATATTTTTAGTAATTGGTAGAACTGGAGCTGTGACTATCCGAGTAGCTGGAGTTCTGAAAGATTGGATACTGATTGCCCTTTCAACCATAGTTTTTCCTGAATCTACTATCACCGGTCTGAATATTATTGGCTATGCAATAGGTAGATCCTTTTTGGGACTTTTCTTTTTCTGTGATGTACTCAATTTTTTTTACTAGCAGGATTTTTTATTCAGCTAACATCCTTTCCTTCTCAGCTCTTTTGGGGGTTGTGATTTATAACTATTTGAAGGTGAAAGATGTTCGAGCATCTAGTCAAATTTCTATGGAAAGCATTCCTGAAAGAGCAACTAAGGTACCATTTTCGAGTTTCATTCGAATCCTATTTGTTTGCATGACATGTGACATCTCAATTTGAAAATCAGTTGAAGCATACAGCCTTTACTTTTTTTTTAAAATGCTGTACTTTGATGCCACGAATCTGAAGAATTTGAATTTTTTCATCGGCGAAAAAATTTGTTTTAATTTAACAAATGTCCTTCCATGCCTCTATCATTTTTTAGTACTTTATAACAAGCCTTTGTGGGTACACCTCTACTTTTCTTAACACATGTCATATTTAATACATCTACTCTCCTAATTGGGTTACCAAAAGGTTGATATTTTATGTGATAAACTATTTAAGGCGACTCTTTCTAGTCTTATCTACCGTTGGAGCTACTCTAACCTTTTCACCTGTATACTCGTTTCACATTCTGTCAGCAAGTCTAAAGCTACTTATTCACTTGAGCATCCTCATCTCAACAACACTTAACTAAATTTTATACATCTCTTTTAATTGCCAACAAATCGAGTCCCAAAGCATTGCAGATCTCACCACCATCTTAAAAAAATTTCTTTTTTAAAGTTTGAGAGGGTACTTTTCTATCACACAATAGGCCTAATGCGTCCTCCACGTCAACCATTCAGCTTGAATTCTACTAATAATATCCCCATCTATTTCACCATCACTTTGAACGATAAACCTGGGATGTCTAAAATGTGCAATCTTTTTAATGGATTTAATCATCTAATCTTACAATCTCACCACTATACCTATTACTATTAAAATTATACTCCATATATTTAGTTTTAGATCTACTTAAACAAAAACCTTTAAACTCTTATGTTAACCTCCATAATTCAAGTTTTTCATTAACTCCTCTAGGCTTATTAACAAGAAGAATATCATTTACAAAAAAGCATACACCAAGGATTAAAGTTTGAAAATTCGAAAATTTGAGTTAAAATTTTGATGTCCAAGCTTTAATACTTAGTACAATTTATGTATTTTTCTTTCTATATCATGGTCTATCATAGATGCATATGATTATTTGATTGATTATGAAATCTTAGTAATTGATCTCTTGATGAATTTCAGCCATTGATCTTTACCTTTTAGTTAGACCTTTATAACTAGCATTTTTTTCAACATCAAGGTCAAGGACAGCCTACCATACAATCGCTCCTCATAACCAACAACACTCTACCCCCAAAATCATTATAATTGAGAGTCGAACCAGCTATCTATCATGACAACAATTTAAAGACCATATTTCTCACAGTTATCTTGAAACCTCTTGGTAATAGGAAATCCTTTAGCTTGGCCTTTTATCATCTGCGCAATAGATTCACGTGGACCCGAGTATGACTTGGCCCCATCCATAGGCCAAATCAGAGACTATCTCGTGATATGGCCTACAATGATAGGGGCACTGATTTTGGGACAGACTATTGCATAATTGTGACTCTGCTACACCAAGCATATCCTACTACCAATTTAAAACACACTTTCAAAGCGCTAAAGCCATCAACATTTCATCATTGCCAAAGTCCAATGCCTAAAGAGGGAGAATTGTTGAGTATGTATATCTTGATTTAAATTTGATTAAGGATATGCTTCATAGCCATTATTAAATTTATTTTAAAATGAGTGCTATATAAGTTTGATATAGTATTGCACTCTTCTTAAACAATTTTTTTTTTAAATATAAAAGCAATCTTTTTTTTTGGGAACTGGGTATCCACCTGCTACCACCCCCGAAAGGGCGCTTGGTGGCGTAACTAATTTTCAGCTGACCTAAAAGAGGCACCTATCCCAAAAACCTCCTGACACGCACTTGATTGAACCCCAATTAAGAGACGCTGCCGCTCGAGGTGGAATCGAGCATGGATTGGAGGGTTCCCAACCGTATTCGTTCACCAACCAAGCTAAACAACGGTGGGTTATAAAAGCAATCTTGATCAAATTTAGTGCATAATATTTTTACCCAAAAATAAGAATCGATCTAACCGCCCAGGAGAACTCCACAGCCATATAATACAAAAGCTCTGCTTCCAAAACAAAATCCAGTTCCACATCACCGCCGTTGCTTTTTAATCCAAAATAAGCTGCTTTATTTTCTTTTTGATATATTTTGTGACTGAACATGTTTTGAAGGATTGGAAGCTGGATAAGAAGTCGTCAGATATATACAGAGAGGATGATAAAATCAATAACATCGGTGGCGATAGAAACACCATGGGACCTTTATCCGCTTTGGAAACGGCTGTGGATGAGGAAGCACCGCTGTTGCCTGGACCTAGAGTATTGTCTTACATTGGGAGAAGCCTACTCGGCAACCATTCTGCCTAAGTCCAATCCAATCTTATATTTTTATTTATATGGTTGATATCTTTTGCATTCTTTTAGTTCTCTTGATGCTCAGGAAGCCTTCATTTTCTCGTTAAAAATTCTTTTTTTTTTCTTGGATAGAGAGAGAGATAGAGAGTCCATGTAATGTAACATTTTTCATAAAGTGCTATTATGTTCAGCATACACAATGTACTAGTTTTTTTTTTTATGTCTTCCTACTAAGAATAATTAAAATTACTAAAAAATAATAGCTAAGGTTGCATCAAATATATTGCAATGTAATTTGTTTGGGCTGCACTGTTTCCAGGTTGTATTAAACATGGCCAAAATTTTTTAATTAGACTAAGGTTTTGTTTGGGACGGATTTTTTCCTGCTTTTTATAGCGGCTTTTTAGTACATAGACTTTAGTTTTTGCACGAGAAAGTCGCTTTAAGAAGTGGGAAGAAAGCCGTCCCAAACGAAGCCTAAGGTTTTGTTTGGGATGGCTTTTTATTGCTTCTTGAAGCAGGTTTTTTAGTACAAAATTTATTTATTTTATTAGAAAGCTGCTTCCTTCTTGAAGCAGTAAGAAAACTATCTCAAATAAAGCTTAAAGTTATTTTTGGCCCGATTTTTTTATTGATTCTTAAAGTAATTTTCTGCTAAGATTTAAATTTTTATATTAAAAATTGCTTTATGAAGCAATAAAAAAAAAGCTGTTTTAAAAGAAACCTAAATTTGGTACAGGCTGCTGCAAATCTAAGGGATGTTGGTTTAAAGTGGAGGCATTTTGATTAATTTATTTTATCAAAATAAAATTAAAAAATCATAATAAAATATATTTATAATCAGTTTTGTCGGTTGATTTATTGCAGGTATAAATAATTAATTGAATTGATTAATTATCAAATAACTTGACGAATTACAATAAAGTTGTGATGTCCAAATTGCAAGTGTAATAGAATTTTTGGGCATGTGATTTCCTGATGGTAATATATTGAAACGAGAGACAGAAACACGACAAAGCTCTGGTGGACACAGTGCCACTCGAATATTCTGCTTGTTTCTTCTCATTATTGTTTAATGCAAATAACTCAGATCAGAAGGCTCTTCTTAATCTTAGATGATAATTAGTATTTATATTATTATTTCATGTTCTTATGATATATGCTTGATTTATCATTAGAAAATTATCTTGACCGGGCATCCATCTCAAGGCAAAATCAAGTTTGTTGCGTCCAGGAGTATTCGCGGCGGTAGAGAAATATAAAGTTTATTGTCTTAGCGTTGTACGAAAATTCGGCTCGCAATCAGATAAGAGAGAGGGTCTAGCATTTAGGAGACACCAAGATTTTTATGTGGAAAACCCTTGAAAACCTAGCTCAGTTTGAATGAATCCACTAGTATTGCAGTCAATTACAAATGAGGCCCTTCCTTGGGAGAAGGCCTTAGCTTGATGTATATTTTATAGAGTACATTACATGATATGAATACAAAGAATCACTATTGACATGTTTGTTTGGTCGGGAGGACCGTAGTCGGCGGGCGACGGAGGTCGGACGGCTTGTAGTCAGTGGGCGACGTAAGTCAGGAGGACCGTAGTCGGCTGGCGACGGAGGTCGGAAGAACTGTAGTCGGCGGGCGACGTAAGTCAGGAGGACCGTAGTTGGCGGGCGATAGAGGTCGGAAGGACTGTAGTCGGAGGGCGATGTAAGTCAGGAGGATCGTAGTCGGTGGGCGACAGAGGTCGGAAGGACTGTAGTCGGCGGGCGATGTAAGTCAGGAGGACCGTAGTCGGCGGGCGACAAAGGTCGGAAAGACTGTAGTCGGCGGGCGACATAAGTCAGGAGGACCGTAGTCGACGGGCAATGAAGGTAGGAAAGGCTGTACTCGGTGGGCGACGTAAGTCAGAAGGACCGTAGTCAGCGGGTGACATAGGTCGGAGAGACTGTAATCGGTCGACGACATAAGTCAGGAGGACCGTAGTCGACGGGCGACGAAGGTCGGAAAGACTGTAGTCATTGGACGATGTAAGTCAGAAGGACCGTATTTGGTGGGTGACATAAGTCAGGAGGACCGTAGTCAGATGATGACGGAGGTCAGAAGGACAGTTGCCTTGCGACAGAGGCTAGAAGGACTGTGTCTGAGGATTAAGGTCAGAAGGACGGTGTCAGGTAGAAGTCCAGCAATGGAAAGAAATCTATCTTCGGATATATGTCCAGCGAAAGTCCGATAACTGGTAGAAGTCCGGCGTCGGGTAGAAACTTGGCGAAGAGTGAATGTCAGGTGTTGGGTAGAAGTCCGACGTCTGTTGGTGGACGAGGAGAACTCTGACATCACTTGGGCGGAGTTTCGGCGTCAGGAGGGAACTTTGTCGTTAATTGAGAAGAATTTCTGCATCCCATGGAAGTTGGGCGAATTCTGGCATTCTCCCGAATATCCGGCGGAATCTTAGCGTGTTCGGGCGGTGGGAAGAACTTCGGCGGTGGTCGAAGAGGAGCTGATTCTCCTTCCCCTTCTCTTCTTCTTCCCTTCTTTTTCTTGCTTCCCTCCTCGCTTATGAGAAATGAGGGGTCTATTTATAATTTTTCTGGAGTGGCATGGATTGTAAATAGTTGTGAGATCTGGGGCGAACAGGGAGTAGTTGAATGGACGGCTGATATTGAATCCCTTGATCATACACCATTCGTCAGCCATTTGAAGGCCTTAGTGATGTTGGAATCCGGCGATCTTGGGCTCGTTGGATTCCACTCGTCGAGCCGTTCGATTCGACTATAAGATATTTGTAGAGCAATTTCCATTGCAATTACATACTATATAAAAGAAGAGATTGATGACCGTTTCTTCTCTATTCATGTTGATGAATCTCATGATGTATCAGGAAAAGAATAATTGGCTGTCATTATACAATATGTTATTGAGAAAGGCTAAATTACTGAACATTTTTTGGATATTGTACATGTTCCTGAAACGTTAGCTCGATGTCTTAAAAAGGAGTTGAAGAAGTCCACTCAAATTACTATTTGTCTTACTCTAAAATTCGTGGTCAAGTTTATGATGACACAAGCAATATGAGTGGATAATTTAATGGGCTAAAAGCATTTTTTTCTAAATTATAATAGTTATACACATTATATTTATTGTTTTTCACATCAGCTTTATTTAGCTTTAGTAGCAATTATGAAAAATCATGTTCAGGTTACATTGTTATTCACTATAAATTCAAATGAGATGAATATTATAAGCATTTTATGTAAACATCATGATCAACTAAGAGATAAACAACGTGATATGATATTAGGTGCATTATAAAATGGCAAGGTGTTCACTGGACGGGGATTAAATCAGAAATGTTTTTATATCATCCCGGTGAAATAAGATGGGATTCTTATTATGAGTCACTGATTATATTGATTATAATATTATTCTCTGTTGTTAATGTGTTTGAAATAGTTTTAGAGGATAACATAAGCTCTTAATAGATAGAAAAATTATTTGCATTATTAGATTCAATGCAATCCTTTGACTTCTCTTTTTGTCTGCGCTTAATGAAATTAAGACATACCTAGAATCACTGTTAAACCATCAAATGTTTTACAAAGAAAAGATTAGGACATCATGAATGCCATGTCTTTAATTCAAATATCTAAAATAAGATTACAATACATGAGAGATAACAAGTGGGATGAATTCATTAAAAAAGTGTCTTCATTTTGTGTTGAACACAAAATTATCACTCCGAATCTAAATGATAAATGTGTTATATACCCGTGAACGTAAGTTTGCGTGCTGTGGAGCTCTCTTGCCAATCTCTATCCAAACTACCAAACTTCTCCTTTCATGTAGAGCATGTGAGTCTATTTATAGATTTTATAAGTGGTGTGCCCCATAAATATAGAGAAAATCCTGGGTAATTTCGAAGTGCTCCATATTGATTCCCTCGATCATAGACCATTCATTCAGCATTTCATTGCCTTAATGCTGCCCAAATTAAGTGATAATGGGCTTGTTGGATTCGTCTTATTGAGCCACTTGATTTGATTATAAGCATGCCGTTTTTGGATATCGTTGATCATCTAATTAATGTTCTAAAGTTCCCAATATGCTTTAAGCACTTGATTTGAGCCCATTTGGGCTTAGATCAAACAAATTTTGGTGTTGTTAGGTTTGTCTTACTGAGACATTCAATTTTAGTATATGTTTGTTGAAATTGGAGTTTGAATGATCCCGAATTTAATTTTGAAAGATGAGAACTTGAATATACTTGCTTAATCAAGGCGATTTTTAGTTACATATCAATACTAACAAATTGTTGAACATCATATGCTAAATAGTAAGGCATCATTAGTCACTATGCTTCAAGAAAAAGCTTGCCTTCTTCCATTTAGGTTTCGTTTGGGGCAGTTTTCTTGCTGCTTCTTAAAACAACTTTCAAGCACAAAAAATTAATTTTTATACTAAAAAGTCGTTTTGAGAAGCAACAAGAAAGCCGTCCCAAACGAGGCCTTAGTTTTCTACAATGAACTTTCATTGCTATGATTCTTATCTTCTTGCAGCTATTAAATAGAGCCACCCTATTAATATACTTTGAATAAATCTTATCATTAGGATTTGTTTGGGACATTTTTTTGATTGTTTTATTTTTCAGATGATAAGTATAATTTCTTTAGAGTATTATTTTCGTGTTGCATTCCCGTTGATTTTTAAAAATTCTTGCAATGAAAACCTGCTCTATGCAACCATAATAACAAAGTTCATTTCTCTCCATAAGCCTCAAAATCTTCTTCCTAAAATATTACAGCCGTCCAAACAGATCGTTACTTTAACATTTTTATTGATAAGTGTCCAAATATTAATATTAATGTATTAATCAAGGATTTCAAAACCGGACCGGACCGGCCGGTTCAACCGGTTGGACCGTGAACCGGCCGGCCGGCCGGTTACGGTCTGGCTAAAAACCGCTTTCGACGAGAACCGGATTTGGACCGGTCGAACCGCCGGTTCGACCGCCAAACCGGTGAACCAGGACCCGTTTTAGTAACCGGCCGGTCCTTTTCAGGCGATTTTGAGCCGTCTGATTTAAACAGATGGCAAAGATTAAGCAAGGTTAATAAAAAAGAGAAAACGAGAAACCCTATTCATCGTTTCATTTCCCACTTCCCAGTTCGCTGCTCCGAGCGTGAGTCGCGAGTCGCGACTCTTCCTCCCTCCAATCTGTCGCGACGCCGTCGGCATTGCCATTTGCGAAGCGGATTTGCGACTGAAGGCATCCTTTGCTTGGTC